AATAATAATAATAATAATAATAATAATAATAATAATAATAATAATAATAATCATCATCATCATCATCATCATCATCATCATCATCATCATCATCATCTAATAAATGTTGATAGAAGTGTGATTTTTTTTTTCAATAGAGTATAAATGTGAATTATGACCTCTTTTTTAAATAATAATTAGTTGTTAAGGGTATAAATTTTAAGGAGAATGAGGGAAATATACTGGACTAAAATAGGAATTAAAATTAATAGGTCAAGATTTAGATAATGTTAGGCATCGTTTATTTTACTAATTCGAGTTTTAAATTTCAGTTTTGCTACAGTTAAAAGTTCTCATAAAAAGGCACATCTAACTTTTTCTACTACAGTGAAAATGATATGAACCCCGCTAAGAAAACTGACGAAACCCGAATCAAAAAAGTCTCCAAGATTGATCTACAATCAGGCTTGAATGAAACCTCGACTCGTTGCTTATATGGAAGCAAGAACCTTGGTATAGTGAAGACACCACAATCAATGATGGAAGAATTGATTGATAAGTCAAGAATGAACGCCAAGGAGAATCCGATGAGTTCAAGAAGTTCTTAAAGAACCAAAGAGAATGCTAAAGCTTTTCTGAAAATAATAAAAATACTAATATGTTATTAATGATATAAATCACGCCTATTAATAGGCTGAATTTACATAAATTAAAATTTTGGTCAAACTCAAATTTTCATGGTCAACTCTATCCTAAAAAGAAAGAATATTATCCATTTGGATAAACACTCATCCTTTAACTTCTAAACAAACTCTGAATCTAAAATGAAACTAAGGATAACTATTACAATGGATAACTATCAAAATAGTGATAAGAGATAACTATCAAATTATTGATCTTGATCCTTAAGACTTTGGTGAATAGTGACGCGCGCGTGAACAGTAACACGCCCACTTCATGCTACTCCTTATCCGAAATTACTTTGATGACTTGGACCAATCTTGACTCACCATCAGTAGTGATCTCAAATGCTTCTCTTTTCTAGACCTCTTGGAATAATCCATTAAGTTCCTCATTAAACCGTTTAGCTCGAGCTTTTGTGGCTGGTCCTTCTGGAACTTGAAGCGGATCTTGATTCCATGTGTTAGCCCTAGCCGTGCTCTCATCATTTCCCTCCTCTTGAGAAGGATTTGTTTTCAAATCGTCACCTACATCAAAAGGACACAAATCAGTAACATTAAAAGTAGCACTTACATTGTACTCACCTAGTAAATCTAGCTTGTAAGCATTGTCATTGATGCACTCTAGGACTTGGAAAGGACCATCTCCTCTTGGAAGCAATTTGGAACGACTGGGAATCTTTCTTTTGTCATATGCAACCAAACCCAATCTCCAGGTTCAAAAACCAGCTTGTGGCGCCCTTTGTTAGCTTGTTTGGCATACTGCTCTATTCCTCGCTCAATGGTACGTGATGATTGAAAATGTTGCATTCATTCATGCAATAATACCTTTGTCTTTATTAATTCTCTAGAAAATTTACAGATGTAATTAATGTTCTAAAACTCAAATTATTGCTAGATATTGTGTTCAAGGGTTTGTTGTATCTTGGGCGTAATTTGTCATTAAAACTCATTAGCTAATATTGAGAAGTTTGGGCAAATAAAACCTTAAAAAAAGTATTCCTATATGCCTCAAACTCTCTCTAATTTTTTGCATTCTTTTTATCCTCTACACACAAATTCTCCAACATTAAATAAAAAACTCATAAGAAAAACGGATGCAGATCTTATAAAGTTGATAGCATAAAATAGAGAAGGAAAAAAAGCTTTGAGCATGTAACTACATTAGAAGGGTCAACAAAATTAAAGCCTCATTCAGTTCGTTGATTCGAGTTTTCAACTCGACTTGAGATGTGATTTTATATGAGAGCTTTTAACTCAGTAAGAAAGTTATATGTGAATTTTTATTAGAGCTTTTAACTGTAGCAAAACTAGAATTGAAAACTCGAATCAGTGAAATGAACGAGGCCTAAGTAAAATCATCATAACGAAGAAACTATTTTTTAAATCTCTCCAGCATTTCGTCAAACAGTTTGTGTTCATAGTTTTTAGGATACTTAAAAGAAAGAAAAATAATTTTATTTTTTGATTTCTAGATGACCATGTTATGGCTATAACTTGACAGGATATTTTTTTAACACTTGACAGATTAAAGTCCATTAAATGACATTTCCATAAATGATCAAATTATAATACATAGCTTGAGAGGTTATTTTCGTAACTAAACAAATTATGGTCCATAACTTGAATAACTTGACAAGTTATGGAATAGATTGGATGAGGCCTTCAATGAGAATTGTGTTCTATTCAATTCTCAACGTTCAATGAGGCCTCTTATAAAATATATTGAATTACAATAATAATAACTTGACATGTTATGGTCCATAACTTGACAGATAATGTTCATAAGTTAATAAGTTATGGTTAATAAGTTAATAAGTTATGGCCCATAACTTGTTACGTTAAAATCATAAATTTACATGTTATAGTCTATAACTTGTCAGGTTATGGTCTAACTTGATATCTTATTGTCCATAACTTGATAGATTATGATCATAACTTGACTAGAATGGCCCATAACGTGACAGTTTATGCGGTGTAAATGGGACAAATTATGGTCTCAAATTTATCAAATTATGATCATAACTTGACAGATTATTTTTGTAACTAAACAAATTAGGGTCTATAACTTCATAAGTTATGATACTACTTTAGTAAATTTGAAGATTTAACAAGTTAATACCACTTGGATCATGTATTTACGCTTATTTACCAACAGAACACAATTTGAGTTCTTTAGTAAATCATGAATTTACTTGTAAAAACAATATGTATTCTTTGGTAAATCATGAATTTACAATGTAAATCATGAATTTATGCCGTAAAAACAATTCGTGAATTTTTTGATAATCATGTATTTGTTGGGAATAGTGTCCTAGAAGCATGAGATGTAATAGGATATTTATTATTTAATTAATAAAAGAGTTTATTCATCATTTTATGTGCATATATTTATGAATATTTTATGAATATCAAATGAAAATTCCGTGATTGTTTATGTAACCTTAAACATAGTATATAAGTGTTATATACGAGAGGATAGTGTTTAAGGATAATAATAAAAAATATTGCTCATGATGAATTTAATTAAAGTTCAGAATCTTTAATTAAAACATTATTAATACATGTCATTCCCATTTAGAATGGAACGGTGTTATCCGCACTGTTAATATGGAGAGATATTGAATGAATGTATTTCGCATAATAAGATTATGTGGAACAAGGACACAGACACAATATGAATTTCTAATAATTTCCGTTAAGCATAGAAATTCTAATTGAGTCTACCGATTGTCATATATAGGATGATCTTAATCCTGAGTTCTTAGCAAACTCCTATTTATGGATTTATGTCTTTTGATTTACTCGGTACGGATTCCGAGACCCTGAATCATGTTCCTTGTATTTTGGAGACATAATGAAATAGGTAGCTGAGAATGTTATTATACATGATGGAATCCATTCCTTCTTGAGAAAGAAGTAGATAAATAATTCTCTTCAGTATTGATTCGGTACTTGGATTAGTAAGAGCGCTCTGGTTCATGAATGTGTGTTATGAATCACTATCCATTAGAGAATCAATGGTACTCAAATTAGAATTAATAGAATTAATTAATTAAAAGTGTTTAATTAATTATTTATTAATTTTATTGGAGCTCGGGAT